GGCCTATTTTTATTAAATTAAGGATTTTTACTGTTATTAACCTTTATATTTTAGAACTTGTTATTTATTCTTTAAAAAAACTACCAGTCATGGTTCTGAATGAAGATGTACATCCCTACAATACTCGTGGTAGACATCAAATAAGTTACCAGCACCTCCGTTTGAGCAAATCTTTAAATAGCCATGTTGTTATGTGTAAGAAAGCTTATAATAAGGTAGTTATTAATGTAAATAAGTATCCACAAAAAATATTTTTAAAAAAATTCAGTGACTGGCTCTTAAGAAATCCTTTTTACAGTATTGAAGAGTTCCTAGAACAACCTGTGATAAGTCTGTAACTTTGTATCCAAATCTGTTAATTATTTCTATATAGTCTATTTTTGTTTTCTTCAACTTTGTTAATTGTTCATTTGTTAAATTGTTTATAGTCTATTGTGATTGTTAACCCTGTAGTTAAAAGGAATTTGTACAACATAGACTCATACCTAAGTTACCTCTGATTATTTAGACAATGAACATTGAAATTTTATGTTCTGCTCCACTGACAATGTCAATGCATGTAAATGTCCATGATAATAAATGATTTGATTTGATTTGAGTAAAACAGTATCTTTTTGAGCTTAACTGATTCAAACAACCAATAGCTCAAATTAAAGCCTATAATTTACTGATTATTTTGAGTCTAAAACATATAAAAAACATTAACAATACTGTAGAGATTGACTTTTAATCATAGAACAACCTTATAAAAAATCATTTTTATGTTGGTTGTTCAACTTGCGTTTGCTTGAAAATCGTCCGATTTGAATAACTAATAGCTTAAATGAAAGCCGGTATTTCACTGAAGATTTTAGGGCAAAATATATAGGATTATATAATTATAACATGTAAAATATATCTTAAATTGAAGTAAGAATTCAAAAATGAATCTTTTTTTTTTTTGTAGATAAATATATGTTGAAGCTTGATGCCAAATATGTGCGTGCCCATCAATTTGAGACCTCAATCATGAAAATCGGTCGGGTAGAATCGCCAAACGAACTCGGAAAAGGAAAACCAAATTTAACTCCCATAAGAAATACATGGGGAGCAAATTTCGTTTACGTATAAACCGAGTGGGATTATAGATAAATATATGCCGATGCTTGATGGCAAATCTGTGCGTGCATGTACCTTCAATTTGAGACCTCAATCACGAAAATTGGTTGGGTAGAAGAGCCAAACGAACTCGGAAAAGAAAAACCAAACTTCTTAAATATATAAGATAGCCATTAAACTGGCGTCACTGAACATTTGTCACATGTGTAGACCTATCGAGGTTATCTTTGTTTAGTTCCAGACATTCCTGACATCATATCTCACATCATCAGCAGGATGGCGCCAGCAGCTGGTGTATGCTGAGGCAATCACAGTTTACTTGATACTTGGCAATGAGAGTAGGATGGGTGTTGTCTTGAGTAGCTACCGTAGCTTTAATAACTGACTGAGACCAACTGATTCTAAAATATCATGATTAGAAACTGTAACAATCAATCATATATTTTGCCTGTATAAATAAATAATATTTCATTTCATATAGAACTTCTCAAAATTAAGTTATTGTAGCCTATATAAATAACTAAAATAAAAAGCAGCTGTTTAATACATGCAATAATAGTCAATGGCAATACTTTGATTAGCTGAAAAAGAATGTCCCCAGCAAACCTGCAGACCAAGCAAAGACCAGCTTTTTCCTGATTTGAATTTTACTAAGATATCCTTATATATATTATGTGAAGGCGATTTCTACAAAACACTACTCCTCCGTTAATAATGGTTGGATTTTTACAAACAATGGGTCAAAATTAAGTATTTTTTGTGTAGGCGCTTTCACCAATTTCTACAATAAAAGTCCTTGGGCTTTGCCCCACTGGCCATCAAAATCCCAATGTATTTCTTATGAAGAAAAGATTATGTTTACTTAAAACCTAGACTGAAACAGACGAATAATTTCGTAGGCTATAGCACACTAGGCTATACACTCCAACCACTCGTATACTCAATCACAATCAATCATTAATTTTAAAATTCCAATTTTGAATTTTTAGTAGATTCCTACAATTTTAAACATTTATCATCCACTAAAGATAATTTGGCACTCAAGATTAATGAGATGTGCATTTAGCCTAAACATGTATGTAGCTATACAAACAGCTAGCAACATGCAATCAAAGCACATTTCCAGCCACTAGTAGCATTAAACGTTGTTAAATCGCTAGAAACTAACGTTACTGGCAGTTTGTTCAAATAACGGAAATCCAACATTAGCATGCTTTATACATTCCAGCGGATAAAGGCCTGGTATTTAACCAGCTGACTGAACCCTAAATTTGGATCGTAAAAAAAATTAATAGTAGGCCTAAGCGGGATAGTAACGTACAGAATATTTTGTAAATTTACAATTTGTTTTACTTGTATTAAAAAATATTCAATGCTGGAAAAGTGTTTTAAGTATCGGGTCAGAATTTTCATTTTTTACAGATTTATTAGTTTCAGGTGCACTCAATAAGAAGTTTTATTTTCAAACTTCATAACTCAAACATTGTTTTGGATTGCACATACAACAATGGTAGAAGATCACTCTACTGACACATTACCAAACATCAACTTGACTTTAACGGTTGTTTTGTCGTAAGTAATATCAGATGGGCCGAGCACAAGACAAAATACTTTTCAAAGTTTATTAAATTTTTGTTTTGTATTTATAAGCCAATAGCATATTATTTGAAAAGTTAACTAAAATATGAGAAATTATTTTAACTGTTATTATTTACTATTTTCCTTGTACTGTAATTGTATTTATTTTTTTTGACACAATTTATTGTACCACCTTTGTACAACAAATATGAATAAAGAATATGTGTAGGAAAGGCAGATGAATTGTGTTTTAAATGAATGAGTAATCAAACCTTCTGTAGATAAGTACGCAAATCCATACATCAACAGGAAACTTTTTAGCGGTTATCTGTATTCAAAAGAGCAATGTGATAATTTGCTAATATTAAAACTTGACCTACAACATATTTAAGCGATTAACTTCTAGCTAAATATCACTCAAAGTTTGTTAAACTGGGCTTAAGCATTTATCTAAAAACAATTAATTGATAAGTGTGATATTCAAACGTATTTCAAATTCACAATATATTTCAATAGTTAGTTAAATTTATTTAACAAAAAATTATAGGCCTACTTTGCCTTACAACTTGATGGTTAAATCCTGAGATTAGTAATTAGTCTAGCGATAGTTGATTATTCTAATTTTGTAAATTTTATTCAAAGTTTTTATCACTTCATTTTACTCTCTTATTCACTTTAAAGTAAGTGAAATTGTGTAGCTGTTTCAATAAAGTGATTGAAACACAAACATTTTACTACTTATTCCAAAGCTTGTTTTGTAGATGCACAATATTTTCACTACCTGAAAATTATTGAAAGTTACCTTGTACTGAACATTTGTTTAAACTCAACTGATGTTTAGGAATACGCTACCTATGGATTACTGAACTTTTCAATAATTATCTGCAGAAAGTAAAGAAGGTATCATTACAATATATCTCACATAATCAAACCAGTGGTGCTGCAGTGAGTGATAAGATATGGAATGCCAATGCTACCATTGTAGTAGGTAAGGTGATTGCAGCTAAGAGTGGCACTAATATAATCAACTCATCATGACTTAAGTACTATAAATTTTTTTTAGCACAGTTTGACTTGAGGAAAACTTTAAGAAGATGTAACAGTCATTTGATTTCTGTCTTGTTCTGGGTTTAAACAGTCCAAACCTTGCTCTTATTACTATCTATCAAAGATCTTTAGTTAATTAGCATCATTAGCTAATAGCCTAATGAGATAAAGTATTTGGATAGGTACCGAATTCCTTAGGATTGAACCAGCCTTTGGATTTGAATGTGAGCACTATAATAACTCAGCTACCCAGACAATATTTTGACCTAGGTATAGATAATATCAATTAAGAGTGCCAAGACTGATATGCATGTGCACAAGCACAGTTTCCCGCCACTGCTTTATTTTTCCTGTATACTGAATTGAAACAAAATTGCCGTTAGATTAATTCAATAGCACTAGTGTTGTAACTCAAAATGTTGTGAAACTTGCCCTGATCCCTCCTACATCCCATACTAATTTATACACACTTACACCACCATAACAAGTGGGCGGTAATTCCAAGAAAATTATGATACTTCCTCTCACTGATAAGATTGTGACTAAGACATCCATAATCGTTTCGGCCCTGCACCATTGTTTATCTATTACTATTATGAGTACACATCTTTCAGTGCCACAAGTGTGTTGACAAGAGCTGTGTGATCTTGATATGTTGATAAGCTGGATGTTTATGAGCCGTGAAGTGTTTAGCTTTGTACTTGGGTCTTGACAGAGAGCCAAATATTATCCAGGATGGAGAAGTGCAGAAGTGCTGGATCGTAAAATATTTTCTATTAATTTGGTGAAAAGAGGAGTGTCCTTGTTTTGATTAAGAATGCTTTTGCTGTGAATTAAAATTTCTAATACTGAATGTAAAACTCAAGTGGATATTTGTATTCATGCATATTAGTTGCAATAAAAGGCTAAATCAAATACTTGAACAGATTTTTTTCAATGGATGTCTTTTTTTAACAACTCAATAAAATATGAATGCCCATCGACGTTTAGGTAATTTTATATTTTATTTCTCAAGATTACTTAAGCACGACTTCATTGGAAATAATAATACAAGCAAATGCTTGTGCTTTAGAGTTCTTTTTCTAAACTAAGTACTTTTGTTAAACTAATGTTATTTAAATAGGGAATAAATATGACATTTTTAAGGAGATAAGTGAGTGAAAATCAGGCAAATTATAAATCTTTAGGTAAAGTTTGTGCTAACATTTGAATGAACAATTTACCTTATAGTAGGGTCTTTATTGGATTTTGAATACCCCGAAAATGTATACCAATTAGTGTGTATCCAGATCAAACCATTTTTTTACACAGAATCATGCACAATACTATTTCATTCTCTATACACCAAAGACATATCCTGCTTACACATATTGTTCACAGTCCAACTTAAAACCAGGAAGAGTTGAAAGGTAAATAAGTCCAAACAACAAACAAAACAAAGCAGCATGATAAGATAACGAACGACCTTGGAAATCCGGAAGAGCAGGAAGTGAGACGGAAGGGTGCTAACGAGTAATGCTCCAGTAATGACCACAATCCGTGAAGATCCTATACACAATATGTAAGGTTGGCTGGAGTCTGGCCAACTCAGTTAGTACTTGGCAGTGATCAGTGGTAGTGGCAGAGGAAATGAGAGCATTTGCAATTGTTTGGTGGTGTTTGCTGTTGTGGACCTTGGTGGTAGGTGCTGAAGAAGAGAAGAGAGAAGATTCAAGGAGAGAAAATCATGCAGCGGTTACCAAAGTTTTAAGGGAAACGAAGATGGGTTCTATGAAGGAAAATCAGGAAGAAAAGGAAGTTGACAAATCCAAGAAGGAAGAACTAATTCAATCTAATACCAAAAGAATCACAGATACCACGGATGGTGCTAATTACACTGTAAGTACAAACGTTAATTGTACAAGAGATGACACTACTAATTTAAATTCTTTAAACAATCTTGATAAAGGAACAGAAACAATGGACCTAGAAGAATTTCATACTGAGAGTGTGACAACTGAGGATTATGATCCGAAAAAATTTGAACGGAGATCAGACGATTTTGAAGGTGGATGGAAAGTTGTGCGGGAAACATCTCCACGACTTGACAAGGACATGATAGGAATGGCGTTCAAGAGTGATGAAGTGAGTAAAGTTCAAAGTTTAATAAATAAGCAACATGATCCTAAAAGGTTTCAAAGAAGAACTTTTGATATAATCGGGATGCTAGGTTTCAAAAATAAAAAGTATGATGCAGTGGTTACAATTACTAAAGAGGAGGCTATCCCAGTTCCATACAACGTCGTGAAAACAGTTCCAGTCCCTGTTGCAGTTCAAGTTGAACGTCCGATTCCTGTGGAAGTTGAAAAAGCTTATCCAGTGACTGTAGAGAAAAAGGTTTATTACCCCGTGAAAGAATATATTCAAGCGCCTTATCCAGTCTACAAAAAGGTACCGTACTTGGTAAGGATAGCAGTTGAAAACCCAGTTCCTGTCCATATCGATAAACCTTATCCAGTATACATAGAAAGAAAGGTACCATACCCAGTAGAAAGGCAGATTCACTACCCAGTCAAAATTCCAGTAGAAAGACGTATTCCGATCAAAATTCCAGTTGTGAAGAACATGTATTACCCTGTAGAGAAGAAAGTCCCGTATCCAGTGCCAGTTCCAGAGGAGAAACCGGTTGCAGTGCCGGTTGAAAACCCTTATCCAGTTTATGTTGAAAAGCAAGTGCCTGTTTTCTTAGAAACCCATTTTCCATCAGCAACACCCGCTGAAGAACACAAACCTGAAGAGCCTAGTCCACAAAATATTGGACATGCTGATGTTGAAGATAGTTTTGTTCCATCTGAGCCAATTGAAATAGACTTCCAAAATAATGAAAACAAGGTTGTTGAAGGAGGATTTGTGCCTATTGTAAATCATGACCCAACAAAACTGCAAGACAAGAAGGATGAAGCTATTACGCTAGAAGAACCTAAGAAAAAAGAAAACAAACCAGCTGAGGTCCCTTTAATATCTGAAACAATTACAAGAGACAAAATTTACAAAGAAAATAACCACAAAAATATCAACAAGACAACAGAAAAACATTTTCTGGAATTTGGCAAAAAGATAAAAAAATTGTAAACGAGATAAATGTAGTAACTTAAGGACAAAATCTACCTCACTTTGACCAAACTTTGTTAACATTTTAACGTTGTAAATAATTTTTTATTTGTATTAAATATTTTATTTCTTTTAACGCAGTTTTAAATCTTAACCTTGCCCAGATAGAACTTTGTTTACAATATATAATATTGTTGAAAATATTTACAGTTTCCTACAACGAAAAGACTAATATCTGTTTATACATTGAATGACTTGTAAACTCCAGAGTTATTTACGGGGACATAGAACGTGAGTAGCATTTCTTTTTTATTAAGGTTATTATTCATTTAATTTATTTTATTATGCATCCTTCATTCTTTAAGAAAACATTATCAATACAATTATTTTTAAACTTAACACTCTTTCAACCTGTCTCATTCAAGTTTTTATAGTTACAGAAAAAACTCATCTGATCAGGAAACTCTAGCTTTCTTTTTTTGATGAGTAAAACATGGCAGAACCAGACAGCACAAAATAAAAACCTTTTCTATGATTGGTAAAATGGTACTTTAATATAATATTATACGGAGGCCACCCTTAGATAGCAAGCTGCGGCGGTTATGGTTGGGTTAGCATGAATAGAAAGTATGACTCATCTGGTATCGTTCGATTCATAACGAAACGAGGAAAGTCCTACAAATATATTTATCATAATCCAACCTAACGTAACTGCCGCAGCGTGCTGTAAAATATGTGGTCTCCGTATAATACCAAAGTACCGGTAAACTTAACGTTAAGGAAGCAACTCATCCTGTACAGCTAAACTGAAACTATCTTTATTTTTAGTTCAGTTTTACTTTTAACCAGCTTGGTTTTAAGAACGTTGTGAGAAACAACTCTAGTTAATACTAATTCACAAAAACACTTTCTTTTTACACAAATAAACTTCAAATAAAAAGGGTTTGCACTTCTCATGGTTTAGTTAAAAATTGTTCAAGGGCAACCATCTGGACTCCTTGCACAAAATTATTTTAAAAGAATATAAATTTGTATTAAAAGACATTTGAAATCTTCATTGATGTATATTGAAAAGTCCTTGATTTATAATTAATGAATGAAAATAAATACAAGTCTTAAGGCAAGTCCAATCTCTTACAAGGACAATAATCTTCTGCCTTTAATAAATACATTTTTGATTAATACTTTTTATTTTACTTGAGTTTTCTTGAAAAAGCAGTTAGTAACAAAGGAAACATGGAAATAACAGTTTTAATTATTTGATAATTTATTTATTTGAACTGGTCTGTTAAAATTACAATTTTAAAATTAAATAAGTTAATTAGTAACCTGGGTAGTTCGCCAGCATCCGGCAACCACCAAAAATGTTTTAGGGTTTAAATAATTAATACATTACTAGGTTTTAAAAGAATAGACAAATTAGCACATTTTATTAATCTAGCCTACTCAAAACAAACCAAACCTTTTTATACTAAAAAGAAACAAACAAAACTTTTTTGACATAGCCATTTTTATTAACACTATAATTTAAAAAAATTACACACGACATTTTACTTAGAGTAAATTTAACAGTTTAACACTAATACCGAAACCCCGGTCTGACAGGCCCACGGGAATTTTCAACAACGCATGTTGGCGTTGGCAACACTGTTTACTTGGTAGATTCCATTCCCCCAATACCTTCCCCCCTTTTCCTCCCCTACCTATTGATATATCGTTTGTTCATTTTGCATGGGTGCCGTGACCTTGACAGGTTGTCTGTTCATAACATGTCCGTCTCAGAAGCCTAGCGTTAGTGTATTTTAAAGCGGGGTCTCACAGACCGAGGGTTTCGGTTTGTGTGTTTCTAAGCAAAGTCCATTATTTTTCAATTGGGGTCTCACAGACCGGGGGTTTCGGTTAACGTCAGCCTATGTGGGGTTTTGGTATTAGTGTTAAGAAAATATCAATTATTTACATAGGTAAGGTAAAGTAAATTTTTGGAATGATTAAAATGTTATTGCTTTGGAAGCTATTTCTTTAGCTAAAAATAAAGCAACAAGCAACTTAATACTAGTTCACCATGTTGACTAGACAATAAAAGCATCCTTTTATGTAAACAAAACTATTGTATTACAGGCATTCTAAAAAATGTAATTACAGTACAAGGAGAAAGAATTTAGAGTGATGGCATATCTAGGAGCCTTATAAAGCAAATAAAAAATGTGTTTTTACACCAAAAACCAAAACATGAGAAATTATAAGTATAACCCAGTCACAGCAAATTTACAGACTCAGAAAATGGTACTTTCCTGTTAAAGGGAACATTCATTATTATCGATGATTTATTTTCGATATATCGATAGTTTTGTTTTACTTCACGATTGGTATTCCTTCTGTTTTAATATCTTCAAACGCATTTAAATTACAAATTAAGAACTAACCTTGTTTAGGCAAAAATAATAGCCTATATATTGATTGGAATAGGACATGAAACTATTCTAAACTAACCTAACATAACTAACCAAACTTGCTGTATATGCTAAGTTACCGTTTCAAAATTCCATTTGATAACAGAAAAGGCATATGGGGAATAAGCTATCAAACGGATTTTTGAAATGTTACAGCAAGTTTGGTTGGTTAGGTTAGTTTAGAACAGTTTCATTTCAATATAATATTTTTTTAAATTGTTTATTGATACTGAACAATATCTATTTACTGTATCCTATATCGTACTTGTCAGCTGACATGTTTCAATTTGTTACTATCAATATATCGGATGGAAAACAAAACTATCGATATATCAAAAAGAAATCATCGATAATAAAGAATGTTCCCCTTAACAGGAAAGTACCCAGAAAATCATTGGTGTCTGACTTTTTATCAGAAATTACTCATAATAACAAAGGTTTAACTTCAACAACTGATGTTTGCTAAAATATCTGTTGTATGCATACTTAGGTTTGCTGCCATGGTGGAAGGAAAATACATAGGTGTGCTATTCCCGTCATATTCTGACGTCACTCGAATTGCAAACAAAAGATCATCTGATTGTAACTGTCAAAGTATGTATTTGTTTTGATTTGATTGTTATTGTTTTGTTTTTTTTATAAAAACACACATTATAAAAACAAAAGCAACTGAATCAAAACAAATACTAAAGAAAATATTTTACATTTGCATATTTGGATTTGTTGCATATATTGCTGCAATACCGTGCAAAAACATGTTTCTTAAACAAACCTAATTTTATGCAATTGTGGTCTACTCTTTGCAAGCTAAGAACTGATGTACCTATCATATCACATGCTATCAAGACTTCCAAGAATGTTAGACTATGGAAAAATAACACTGTCATTGAAACAAATATACAATTGACATAAACTGACTTATAAACTATATGAGGAGTTGAAACTCTACATTACAATCGTTTTAGATATTATGAAAATACTCAACAAAATAAATGAAAACAAGAAAAGGCACTTGATAAGATGGGGTTCAGTAAAACAGATAAATGTATTAAACATTGTCAGTTTTTAAACCAAGAATAAAAAAAACTTGCTAATGTTTAAGAATGGCAATAATATAAATGTGATGTATTAACCCTGTATCTGGAAGCTACAAATCTCTGTAGTGGCAGGCCATTTTTTTCTGTATGTATAGGTTAGTTTAGAGCTGTATAAATTGTGTTCTATCATACAAAAGTATATACTATTATATATTTTCTTTTTCAGGAAATTACAAGGAAAACATTTTAACCATTTACCATTGACCAATTTAAAAAAAAGTTGATTGACTGTTTACTTCTAAGAAAAAAAAAGAAAAGAAAATGGGCTTGTAAAATCTTTCTAAAGTAAGAGGCTTAGGAAAAATACAAAATTTTATTAATTGGAAATCTTAAGATATACAAAACTTTTAGAAAATGGTTCTTTACATTAAAAAAGTCATATTTGTATGTAAAGAATATAAGAGTGTACACCGCGCGAAACTCGCAGTTGCATCATTCTATGTTTTATTCTCAATTTTTAAAATATTGTTACATCACGGTAACTAAACAAACTATATATAAAAATAAACATTAGAATCTCCTGTGTAAAATGATAGAAAACAATATCTAATACAGTGATGTTTTCTGATAAAACTTAGTAGTTAAAAAATTGATGCTCAAACGACTAGTCGTTTGCCAGTGGGGAAATAGTTTTAGCAACTAGACAATTGACGATCGCCAGATGCAGGATTAAATAGCAGTAGCATTTGCAATCACCTTGTAAGGTCAAATGTTTATAGTAATAAAAGAAAACCAAAATAAACACCTAACTAAAACCAAAATAAACACCTAAATAAAACAAAAATGAGATTTTGGTATAACTTTATCAAAAGCAACATAGCTTAGTACCTAGTGAAAAATCAAATGTGTAAATAAATGTACAATAGGCCTAAAGATTTTTACTTCCCGAAAAACCTGATTTTATTATGTATGAAAATTTCAAACTGTAAGTTTGACCATTTCATTACTTGATCATGATTTAGGATATTATGTTGTTAAAAAGCTACCAAATAAGAAATATATAGTCTATTTACTATGCTAAAAAAACAATATGGCTAACGTTAAAATAACAACAAATTACAACCATTTTTCTTTAAGAGGCAAAGTAAATCAAAATCTTCATCCTAAAAATTAAAATTGCTAATTGTCGATAGCTTGTTTCTCTGGTGTAATTTAGATTAACATCATAACAAACTAGTAATATAGAAATTGGAAAGAAAAAAATTACATTGGTTAAAGCCCTGATAACATGCTCCAATTTATCTGTGCGAACCTGGTTTGCACAAACCAAACTGTACAAACCATCATAACGTGTAAGCGGCAGACTTGTGCAAACAAATAGATTGGAGTGAGGTTGGAAGGTTTGAGCAAAGGTTGGAGTTGGAACGTGTAAACAGATGTTCATGCCATTTTGCTCACACCTAGGCCTAGTAGTCTCCCGTTCCCATCCCACGCATCAGTCATTTTCCAGTGTACGGTGCTGTACCGTAGGAAGCATCATGGCTGAATCTCGTGAATTTTAAAACAATTTCATTG